GCAGTGATACTTCAATTCAGTTAATAAGGAATTGATTTTTGTCGCATCAAGTTGCTCCCCTTGTAGAGCTGAAGTGAGTAGGCGGCTGTTTAGCTTCAGAAAATCTTTAATATTGTTTTGATAAAAGACCCATCTGCATCTACCATTTGTTTTTCCAAAACCCCTCACTTTGTTTGTGACAACTCGATAGAAGTAATTCCTGATACTCTGACCAGTGTATTTTATCCCAGTGATTTGGTAGATTATGTTAATTATTTCATTATATTTACAAGATGCATAACTTTTTGTAAAGGTTGCCAATGGAAACACAAGTGTCATCATAGAATAGAGTAATAACTCTTCTTCACACAATGGGGAATTATTTTGGAACTGTACAGTGGTTTTTTGAATAGGAGATGTTGAGTCATCTGACACTGATGGTGGAAATTGCGTTGTGCATCGGTTATTGGGTGCACAAGTATCACTTTGGTTAGCAGGTGTAGAACAAGATGGGGTTGCAGTGTTTATAAAGTCCAGAGTATTTTTCTGTGGTCTAGGTGGTGACCCGAATTCTGCTCTTCTTTTAGGTGTATTGCATCTTCCAACTGGTGAAGCTACTCTCTTTAAATTATTTGACATGGTTATCTAGGGACCACATTTGTAAAAGCTACAAGTTAGCTGTGTCACCAGAAATTGTATGCAAAACTAGGTAGACTCAGTTTATTATATATTATATTATATTTATTAAAGAACAGGCACGGGCATAAGCAGGCAAGAAAGGGTATTGCTTTGGGGGGAAGTCGTAAGTTTTATCCTGTTGTACAGTTGTAGTTTAACATTGCTGTTATAAACATGCACTTTGCTTTGCATACAATCTGTAATCTAGGTCGAAACGTCAGCAAGCGTTTTTGCCTTTTAGTCGGTTGTTATAACCACATTTGACGGAGTTATATCATGTATCTAACTTATGTTATCTAAAATAGAATTATACGTAGTATTATTTACCTTTTTAATTAGCTATTTCACAATAATATTCACAAAGATTTCGCAACTTCCTGTCCGGCATTTAATTTTCCCGCTCTTTTGTTTACAATGTTATATATTGCGCATTCGTGCAAAAATGTCTACCAAGTTTTTCTGTTGCGTCGGGTTTGTTCACGTATGGCAAAAAAGGTTCAAAAATTTAAGAGACAATATTTTTAGCGCTGATAGATATGTTAATGAACTATTTGTCCGTGCATTTGCTAAGCTGGGAGGGCAGTGCAAGATAAAATATCAAACATATTATTCGACCAGCCGAAAGAAGTAAAGCTTCGGTGATCACGGATGCAAGATTTGTTTGAGAACAATTCGCATTTACTCATTATATTTTGGCTACTGACCTAGGATCAACGTGTTGGTAAGTTGGACAAATATTCTTTTGTCAATTTAAGAATGAAAGACCGAAAAAGTGATAAATGTATATGAAATCCATAATTTTTAAACCCCTATGAGGCAAGGACGTTTTTGAACTGTAATTAGATTTTTATGCTGTGTTCAGCCAGCTATTGCAAAAAAGGTTCAAAAAATTACCTCATGAAACTTGATTGGATGGAAGGTTTGTGTTTATCCAGCATGTATTTCAAAAAGCTAAGTTGGGGCGTTCATCCAAGTTATGAAATATGTAATTTTATTATGCATTGTGGCAAAATGCGAACTATGGAACCATTTTGTGCTTTGCCTTCAAGGTGGAAATTTTCGTAGTTACGTTAAAAAGAATGCCTTGAGTAATGTTATATAAAGGACACAAAGAGTAAAAAATATAATATAAAAAATATGCAAACGATCGACATCATTGTTTTGAAAAATTCACACATTTAGTTTGTCTCTTCGAGTTTTGAAATTGAAATTTTGATTTGAAAACATTTAGCGCCCTTCCTCGCTAGCCCCAGTCCTAAAGTGCATCACACATGTTCCATACCAATGTATCGCCGTTTCACCGCCCTATCTTATATGCGCCCTGGTTGAGGCAACCATGTATTACCAATCCAGTTGCGCAGCTTTGAGTTCCCTTTCCATTCTTCAGATGTCTTCAGAATTGCAACTTTTTACTTCGCCTGCGTATGCGCAGCGGAGTCTTAAAATGCCATGGTCTTTTTTTCTTTTCGTCGTTTTGGGCGACAGAAGTTGGCATTTCTACAGGTAACCCAAAACAACTTTATTTTTGACCGAGAAGCCCTGGGTTACACGGATGAATTATGTACATCAGTTGGCATTTAGGGAGGTTTGTGGGTGATTTTGTGCAATGTTTATTTTTCTTCGTGTCCTTGTGCCTCGTGTTTGAATCGACGTTCTTCTCTCGTGAAAAATATGAATATGAAAGAGTTTTCAGAACCACGTTCAACAACTACAAAGGTAAGTTGTTAAGATTTAGATTGTATTCGTATGCTGTGGCGGTAATAGCATATTAGTATACCCAAGATTTTCTGTTTTATAGTTGATTTTGTGATTCGCGTTGACGTAGTGTGTTTCGATGAGGGACTAAGTACGAACTTAATTATATTAACTTTGATTGACATTAATTGATTAATTGCACGAGATGGTATAGGTAATATGAACCAGGGAACACTGAACTGATTTAGGGAGAGATACGAGAGCACGTTTGCGTGAAAAGGACTTTTATTCTGTTTGCTAACCTGTTTAATTTGATTTATGTGTGATTATTTAAAGATTATGTAGAACGCGTAGACCCGGCAAGAAGTAAGTAAAGACATTTATAATATTAACATAGAATGCGACAAAGATAGAATGATTTAAACCCAATGTAACCTAAACTTATATTTACTAATCTTAATTGTTAATCATTATTTGTTAGATTGAATAATTACATCAATATAAAACCACAAATTATACGATTCCGTGTTCTACGTTCTGACCCGATATTCCACAACATTCGATTTCCGAAGAACAAATTTGCGCGTGGAATTCCTGTATGTTATATTATGAGTGACGAGGCGCTGAAAACGGCAAAGATACAACGGCGAGCGGCGAAAGCTTCGTTGACGAGACTGAGTAAAGCATTGGTGCTCCTACAAGAAAATGACAGACCAGCAGAGGAGGTAAGAGAATACCTTACTAAAGTGAAGCAGGCATTTGACAATGTAGTCTCGAAACATGAAGAATACGCAAACTTAATAGTCGAAGATAAAGACTTCGAAACCGAAGAACAGTGGCTAGAAAACTGTCAAAATGACTTTCTTAGACTTGACATTAAAACTAAGTGCTATATAAAAAGGGATGCTAGCAAGAACAGCGAGAGTATAGTAGAAAAAAACGAGCAAAATGCGTCAGGAATGTTAGGAATGCCAAACCCAGACAGTCCAAGTAATTCGACCCCTACAAATCATGATACAAACCAGCCAAGTGTAGGTAATGACAGCAGCAATGTGATAGACACCTCGCAAGCAAATCCTGTCAATACTTCTGAGGAAATACATGTCAACAACTTGCCAGAATCGACACAAAACAGTAACACCGTGCAATCCGAAATAACAAATGAAACCGGAACTGTTTCTAATAGCAATACGAAATGTAGTTTCCAAATGGAAAAGCCAAAATTACCGAAGTTTTCGGGTGATGTTCGTGAGTACATGATATTTCGCGCAGATTTCAAACATGCCATTGAATCCCGATATACGAAACGAGATGCTATCACACTGTTAAGAACTTGTTTAAAGAAAAGCCACTCGAACTAATAAAGGGAATTGGATCGGATTACGATGCTGCATGGGAATACCTGGATTCTATATATGGGGACCCCCGGTTTGTGTCGGATACCATAACACAAGACATAGTAAAGTTCAAAGCGCTAAGTGAGGGCGAAGACGCACGGTTCTGTGACCTAGTTCATCTAGTTAGACGGTGTTACAATACGTTGAAGGAAGTGGGAATCCCCTCTGATATGGATAACAGTCACATGCTTTCGATTATTGAGCAAAAAATGTGTTCCAATGACCGTAAAGTGTGGTCACGAGAGCTTGAACGAGAAACAAAACCTGCAACATTGGCCAACTTAATAAACTGGATGACAGTCGAGATGAAATCGCGAATGCGTGCCACGGCCCCAGTACGAAGTAGTTTACCTCATCGTCGAGCAATCGGCTATGCGGGCGGAGAGGTTGATGCCAACAGTAAAACTCGATACAAGTGCTGGCTCTGTAAGAACTCAAGCCACTGGCCAGATCAATGCGAGAAATTTGCGGCAATGAGCGTCGACGAGCGGATAAATACAGCTAAAACCAATCATCTGTGCTTCAGCTGCTTAAAGAAGGCAGGACGAGACCATCGACAAGCGAATTGCACGAGAAGAAAGCAATGTACAGAACTTGTAAACGGAAATCAATGCTCGTCGACTCATCACCCATTGTTGCACAAGTCCAACCCGGCAAATATCGGTGTTGCTTCCCTGTCGGACCAAAACGAGTCGATGTTGCCAGTGATCAATGCAAAGCTCAGCGGATGTGGCGGAGTGTATAAGCCCGGAAACGTCTTGTTGGATTCTGGAGCACAAATTAGTCTAATCAGAAGAGAGACTGCGGATAATCTACATTTGAGTGGACAAGATATAACCGTGAATATTGTGAAAGTTGGAGGTGAAGAGGAAGAGGTTCATACAAAGATATATAAAGTGGGCGTTACTGGAATTAAAGATTCAAAAAAGTATGTGATTCGAGCTATCGGAATCCCCTGCATCAGCGAAGAAATTAAAGGTGTTCGATCAAGCGAGCTAGCAGAGCAGTTCAACTTGGAGAAGAAGAAAGTCAGGCGGGCAGAGGGCATGTTGATCTTTTAATTGGAATCGACCACGCATACATGCATACCGGCCCGACCAAACAAGTTGAACGTTTGATTGCTCGGAAATCTCCGCTGGGTTGGGTGATTTTTGGATCGCCACCCAAGACCTGAATAAAGTGACAACCTCTGTTCTCCATGTTAAATATGCCAACCCAGTGGATCTGTCGGATTTTTGGACATCTGAAGCGATGGGTGTACAAGTCGATCCCTGCGTTTGTGATGCAAACAAGTTGAATCAGTTAGATCGAGAAGAGAAGAGAATGATTGAAGAGTCGGCCAGGAAAGTTGAGAACCAATGGATGATTCCATACCCATGGAAAAGGGATCCCAAAGAACTACCGGATAATAAAGAACAAGCCGTTAAACGTCTGGAATCGACAGAACGCAGACTATTGAAGAACCCCAAAGAAGCTGCCACTTACAACCAGAAAATGATCGAGATGGAAGAAATGAACTTTGCTAGTAAGTTAACCAAGAAAGAGATTGAAGACTACAAAGGACCAGTTCACTATGTTTCACACCATGCCGTTCTCAGGCCCGATAGTACAAGCACACCAGTTCGTATAGTCTTCAATTCGTCATCTTCCTATCAAGGTCACGTACTCAACGACTACTGGCGAAAGGGACCCGATCTGTTGAATGATTTATTCGGTGTCATTCTGCGCTTCAGAGAAAATGAGGTCGCTGTAGCTGCTGATATATCGAAAATGTATCAACGAGTGCTCATCCCGTTGGAAGACAGACACGTACACAGATTCCTGTGGAGAAATTTAGAAACGGACAGACCGCCTGACACTTATGCAATGAATGTATTAACGTTTGGTGACAAGCCTGCACCAGCCATGGCTCAAGTCGCGCTGCAAAAGACAGCCGAGGAAGGAAAGAGTATTAACCCGGAAGCAGCACGTACCATTAAAGTCAACACCTATATGGATGACATTCTTGACTCAGTTAACACGAAAGAAGAAGCCAAGAAACTTACAGGTGATATTGACAGCATCCTTGAGAGGGGCGGATTCAAAGTGAAAGGATGGCAATCGAATACGGATTTAGACGACCGTGACACGGAAGCAAGTGAAATCAAAGTGCCAAAATGCAAACCAGAAGCAAAAGTACTTGGTGTATCGTGGGATAGGTTGAAAGATGTCCTGAAATACAAATTTGAAATTGAGGCTGTGAAATTCTGCACAACCGATCTCACCAAGCGTAAGATTTTAAGTCAGGTTGCTAGAATTTACGATCCCATCGGTTTTGCCTCGCCCTTCCTCGTAAGAGCAAAGATCAGCCTCCAAGAATTATGGGAAGAAGGAGTAGACTGGGATGACGAGCTGCCTCCAAGCATTCAAGAGAAATGGTCATCGTACTTCAAAGAGATGGAGCAGCTGAATGACGTATCGTTTGAGAGATGTATTTGTCCAGGGAAAGTGGTCGAGCCGCCAACGTTATGTGTATTTGCCGATGCATCGCGAGGTGCATTTGGGACATGTGCATATCTGAGAAGTGAAAATTCCACAGGAGATATCAAAGTTAGATTTGTTGCGGCCAAATCACGAGTTGCCCCGTTAAAAGAGCTAACTATCCCACGTTTAGAGCTCCAAGCAGCTGTGTTGGCTAGCAGGTTGTGCAAAGCGATCGAGCGAGAAATTCGGATCGAGCTCCAAGAAAGTATTTTATTTACAGATAGCGCAATCGTCTTGGCCTGGATTAAAAATAATGGAAAGCGTCTAAAACCATTTGTAGCAAGTCGAGTTGGAGAAATTCGAAGCAACGTCAAACCGGCCCAATGGAAGCACATCCCAACTGAACAGAACGCTGCCGATGATGTATCCCGTGGATTATCTGTTCCTGATTTGTCGGGACGTTGGTTGAACGGTCCGGAATTCCTGCGTCGACCAAAGGAAGAATGGCCGAACGAAGGCAAACAACCTGATCCCACTGAAGTAGAGCGCGAGTGCATAAAGAGGAAAGCCGTTAATGTGGTAACAAATGAAGTGGCCCAGATAGGAAAGGTAATCGAGTGTAAAGATTATTCGAATTGGACGAGACTCGTTCGTGTCACAGCCTGGGTACTGAAATTCAAGAATGCGTTCCTGGCGAAGATAGGACGACCTAGCAAGGAGGATTCGGTAAATGAAGAGGCACTAAACCCGAAAGATCTCGAGAGAAGTCAAACCGTCTGGATTAAGGAAGCTCAGAAGTGTCTAAAGAATCGCCTGAAAAGAAACGATTTCCGAACACTTTCTCCCTTTGAAGATGAAGAAGGTGTAATCAGAGTAGGTGGTCGCATCGACAATGCACTAGTTTCATACGAGACACGACACCCGGCGTTGCTCCCTTATGACCATACAGTTTCACGATTGATAACCGAAAGGGCTCACCGAATGGGACACTCCGGTGTTGCGACCACATCTGCAAAGACAAGAAGACGATACTGGATACTCAAAGTACACGACCTGGCGAAGACAATCAAGTCTAATTGTCGTTTGTAAAGAAGCAAACCCACAAGTTGAAAATCAGTTGATGGCAGATCTACCACCGTTTCGCGTAGCACCTCATTCTCCTCCATTCCACTACGTGTCCTGTGATTACTTCGGTCCGTTAACAGTCAAAGTTAGTCGTAACAAGACAACAAAGCATTATGGCGTTATCTTTACGTGCCTAAATACGAGAGCTGTGCACTTGGAGATCGCGACTGATTGTTCTGCCATGGAGTTCATTCAAACACTTCGACGATTCTTTTCTATCCGAGGATATCCTGCAATGATCCTCAGCGATAATGGTACGCAGTTTGTCGGAGCGTTGACCGACCTAAAGAATATGATTCAAGGAGCTGACAAGAAATTATTAAAAGAGTATTGTGTTGATAAAGGTGTACAGTGGAAATTTATCACCCCGGCAGCACCCCACCAAAATGGAACGGCGGAAGCGTTAGTGAAAAGTTGTAAATTGGCACTTAAGAAAGCTATCGGTGAACATGTATTAACCCCGTTCGAACTGTACACATGCTTACTCGAAGTAGCGAATTTGGTAAATCAGCGACCCATCGGAAGACCACCGAACGATCCAGACGACGGCGTTTATCTGTGCCCGAATGATATGTTGCTTGGAAGAGCGTCCCCTGAGGTTCCGCAAGGCCCTTTCCAAGAAACGAAGAATCCGAGAAAGAGAGTGGAATTCATCCAAAGAATCGTAGATTCGTTTTGGAGACGCTGGACAAGAGACGTGTTCCCACTGTTGGTCCCAAGAAAGAAATGGAATTCAGCAAAACGGAACGTACGAATCGACGATATTGTAATGATGCAAGATGGAACAGCAGTACGAGGAAAATGGAGAATTGGACGCGTGATTGAAGTATTTCCAGGAAAGGACAAGAAGGTGAGAAACGTGAAGGTAAGAACAGCGACAGGAGTGTATTCGAGACCGGTGCAAAAGATCGCAGTTATCCATCCAGCAGAAGGAGACGAAGAATAAGGACAAAGCATTCTCCTTTGGCGGGGCCGGAGGATGTTTCGATGAGGGACTAAGTACGAACTTAATTATATTAACTTTAATTGACATTAATTGATTAATTGCACGAGATGGTATAGGTAATATGAACCAGGGAACACTGAACTGATTTAGGGAGAGATACGAGAGCACGTTTGCGTGAAAAGGACTTTTATTCTGTTTCCTAACCTGTTTAATTTGATTTATGTGTGATTATTTAAAGATTATGTAGAACGCGTAGACCCGGCAAGAAGTAAGTAAAGACATTTATAATATTAACATAGAATGCGACAAAGATAGAATGATTTAAACCCAATGTAACCTAAACTTATATTTACTAATCTAATTGTTAATCATTATTTGTTAGATCGAATAATTACATCAATATAAAACCACAAATTATACGATTCCGTGTTCTACGTTCTGACCCGATATTCCATAGTGTTTTAATACAAAGTTACAAACTATATACAAAGACAAAGTACTGTTTGCTCTCAGAAAATATTATACATACTACAAGTTTAGCGACCCTGCATGTTTTAGAATTCGATATTTCTATTTACTAGAGTCTATTTTAAAGCCTGTTTTATAAAAGGCCTCAATTGGGCAATGAATTTTTATATGAAACATGTTTCTTTGCAATTGGTTTCAAAGAATCAAAAATGGCGGCCGTATTTGTTGCCGAACCAAAGTAATTTTAGAATTTTAAATTAAGTTGCGAAGCTGTGTCGTATTTCAGATTACACCATGATATTCTTTCATCACAAATAATTTCTTTACTATCTTCACGATTACACTGCAAAAACTACCCAGGTAACACAAGATTGCATGGGAAAACTCTAAAGTAATTACCACTATAAAAAATCGATACATGATCAAAGACTTTGCCCAGAGCGTGGCATATAAATATGAGTAATCATGCTCTGAATAGGGACGACAGTACCCATTTGCCAGAGGAATATGCATCTTATTGGCAGGTGACATCATCCCTTGGGTATTTAAAAGAAGCTTTCATTCCAGCTTTAGACCAGGCCTGATGAAGACAGTAAACTGGACTGTCGAAATGTTAGGTCCTGATTACAATTTGACCGGGCTTTGTAACCCTTTATATAAACCAGAGTAGCGAGCGATAACAGGGTTAAAAGGGGGTATTAAAACTGTTCCTATTACACGGTTGAATTGCCAAACATATAACACCCTATTTTTGTTCTAATTTCCAGGTGCTCATTTGCAGGAAGTTGCAAAAAGAATTAATGTCCCTGAGTGTGAATTCCATGAATGCATATTTGAATACCAAGTCACATTTGAATACCAACTCAACTTTGAATGCCAACTTATCTTTGAATGCCAACTTACCTTTGAATGCCAACAATGAAGTTACAATGAATAAAGTTATATTAATTAATGAAGTTACATCAGTAAACAATGTTAAGCAACTGAATGAAGTTACATCATTAAATAAAGTTACATCAATGAATAAAGATGCATCAATGAATAATTTCATATTAATGAATACAAAATGTATAACAAAAAATCCCAGAAGTATGAATGATAACAGTATGACATCCAACAGTACAAAAAGCAAAAGTGTACATGATACCAACAGTTTTCAAACCTCTACCAATAGTGTTACACCAATTCAATTACATTGTTTTAGATCTCGTTATGTGAAATTTATATCTGATAAAAATGCTAAAAGGGTAGGTCGTCATGAACGAGAACCAAGTAGAATTCCAGCTAAGAGACTCTGCCGCCTATTCACAAAGAGTAGAAAGTTGAGGAAAGCTATGCGAAAAGTAATAAAGAGAACTATACCTGCATCATCCCATATTCATTGCTACACAAAAGCATTCAGTCATGAACGTCAGAGAGTTTCAAGTAACAATTGTTTCTATCAATACATTAAAACAAAACTAATACATTGTAAGAATTCAGAAATAACAAAACGTCGACCAAGACAGTACAAAAAAGTTAACAAGAAAAATAGACGGCAAAGTTACAACATATTCAATTTTAGTAAAACAAAAAAGCCTATTATACATAAGGATTTGAACCACAGTTACCGAGTGAATTTTTGCAAGCTCACCCTTTGTGGCGACATTGAAGTAAACCCTGGTCCTAATTTTAATAACCCTGAAAGAACTATTCATGCTCCTTATAGTCAAGGTAATGTTGAAATATTTGGTCAAAATGCTGGCCGTCAGTGTGTAGCTATGAGTTTATGCTCTCTGATATACTTGAATCGCAACAATTCAATATGTGATTCGACAGACTTAGTTAACATTATGAATCTCGGTGATCAGTTATATTCTTCACTGTCAAGATTATCAAGACAAACGTACTTACTACTTGAAGAACTGCCTACAATGGTAACTGTTGAAGATACTGATCACTCACTTGAGTTGAGTCAAAGTTATACTGGTAACCTTCATTCACCTATCATGGCTGAAAGTGTCCCATTTGTCATGCCTCTAGATTCTGCTTTAGAACAATTACAGCGAGAAACATTCAGTTCATTCCTTTTAACTATCGAGTATAACACTGTTTCTATCTTTATTGATCCCACTGCTTTACTAAACGTATTCGATTCCAGGCGCGGATCCAGCCGAAAATCTGACCGTGTCATAATGGACTAAAAATTTTCCGGTCGGGGGGGGGGCGTATGGCGAAGGGGGAACGTTTAAAAGCGAATATTGTAATTTGTAAATCCCTGTACTTTCATAAAACGACAAAACCATTTTCAAAAATTTTGTTAAGGTATTTACGGATATTTCATTCACACTCAACATAACGTGAGATTTGCATACACAAATTATTCACAGCGTAAATGCAAATTTGTATCATATGGCGCTTTCCATTAAGCGGCCAAAAAGGTCACACCGGTCATATTTTAAATTGAAATAGAGTATTTCGTTAAGAATATAGCGGTGAAACTGCATTTCCTGTGCTAGGCAGATGTAAATAACGATATACTTTTGTCTGTACCGACTACCGAACACAACAGAACCGGTCTGGCCGTTTTTCCGCATAAAGAAGAGCGCCCATAGTTCGATTTAAAACCTAAAAGTCTTACCTTACAAGGACATTAAGTAAAGATTTTCAGTATTTGTCTCTTGGGAAATAGCAGTTTAAAAATTGTCGTTGCGATTGTATAACGCGAGCGAGCGAAGCCTTTCTTTAGTAATAATTCCATCATGTTGTAGCCTGAAGAGCGATATTTCCCCTGAAATATGCTCGCTTAGATTTGCTTTTGAGAAATTTCGACGGATTCATGTATTAATACATTCGATTCAGCCTGAATCAGCCAGGATGCAGCGAACAGACCAATTTAACATGTTATTTGTAAACTATATCCGAGTTCGAAGTCGAGAAGTGTCGAACTTTATTGTTTATCATGTTTATTGCGCAATCAAAAACAGGCCACCGTGTCGCACCGTGGCTCACGTGGCAAAAGCTTGCCCTGTGATTGGTTTGCTACACTGCACCGTGTCCGAACGTTACTATATTTAGTAACAATTGCACAATAATCTGCACGCTGACCGTGTCAACTAGTTGCTGTGATCGCAGCTTCGAATGCACGACTAGCTTCCGAACATACTCGGCACAATTCGGCAAGCTTTCGGCGAATTTTATAGTTCAGTGTTAACTGAACAATCATAATATGAAACAAGGAATAATAATTGGGAATTTGTTACCACTTTTAGCAGGAATTGGTAATAATATGACAACGATTACGAAAGATATTACTCAAATTATTTGTTTTAGACATATATTTCCTTAATTCTGGTGTGATTCAAAGAATTAATATGTACTTCTAAATAATGTGTGAATATTAGATTGCAGATGGGAAAATTCTGGATGGGAAAATCTGACCGTGGCTCGAGCCACGTTCGATACGGTCTGGATCCGCGCCTGGATTCCCATGCTAGAGATTCTTTTGGTATGCCTCATCAACATGGCACATGCGTCCTATTAGAATTTGACTCCATTAGAAATTTGACAG